AACCAGGGTGGAGCAGAAGAACAAAGGAATAAAATTTTGGGTGGTGGTGGTGAGCGTAACTAATAGATTGTCTGATGCATTTAGATATTTTAAAATAGATTTGATAGGTCTTTGACAGATAGATTGGAATATTTGGGTTAAATTTTGATGGACACTTGGGAAATTAAGAATAGGAACAAATGAGATAATTATTATAACCAGGAAAGATAAAATATTGTATGAAACTATGTAATTGTGGTACACTTGTTTAATATGGAATCGGTAATTATATGATCATAATAATGTAAACTCTGGTTACTGGTTTAACATAAAATTGTGATATGACTACATTGGAAAGATAGGCAGAGAGGAAGTGGGGTGGGAGTACAAGAAAGCCAAACCTATTCACTCTTACAGGAGGTTAGGAGATAATGTCTCAGGCAAATCAAGCGAACGATACCAGCATGAATATGTTATTAGTAAGAGGGGGGAAAAAAAAACAAAAGAAAAATTTCAAAAGAGTTTAAAATTTATGGAAAGGAATGGGAAAGGAATTGACTGGTTTTTTTTAAATTATAAACCTTTTAAATTTTACTTTTTAAAATGTACATATTGAGCACACTTAGCACCCAGATCTTAGTTTCTAAATACCACTCACCAGTAGAGGGAATCAAGGCTCTTTGGAGAAATGGTTAATTCTAGGACTGGGCAGGAAATGTTTTAAATAAGTCTAGAGCATCTTCTTGTGCTAGAAAGTATGGAAGTGCTAAAAAAAAAACAAACAAATCACAGTGATGGGATTTTTAGGGGACACAGGAGACAACTAAAAGAGCTTCCAATGACCAAAGCTGGAACAATCTGAGCAACAAAATAAGTAAAGTAGAACTGAATTATAACCTAAAGTATAAAACAAATATATATTGATATAAATAATTGAATCAATAAATAAGTCAAAGAGAAAGACAAATCTATCCAGAAGAATTCCAAATAGTTTGCTTTCTTCTCAAAGAGGTAAAGCATAACTCTCCCTCCTTAGTGTGGACTGGACATAGTGACTTCCTGCCAAAAACTACAGTACGGAGAAGGAGACAAGGCTAACTTTACAATGGAGAGACCTGACAAACACTACCTCAGGTAGGTGATCAATGTCAACATCAACAGAGATAAGTCAACTCATGTTGATAGCAT